GACACACGCAAGTGCGTAGATGTGCACAAATTTATGATTTACAATGGAAATCTGTGGATTTGGGGGTAGCCGGAAAGATGTGATTTCAAAGACGAATGCTGCAAAGAACCAGGGCTTGCTTTGTTCCTTTTGCAATTTTTCTTTTCCTTTGCATTGCCGGGCTGCCATGGCAATGTAAGCTTTACACAAGAGGAAAGCGAGCTTAATGCTTCCCGGGTTCCTCTGTAAATACAAACGGAGTTGGAAGCAGCAGGTGGCACTCCGGCGATGCTTCCTTTCATCTGCCAGCCCGGCTCCAGTGTAATTGGGGGAGAGAAATCAGACGCCACCCTGCTTTAAAAGATCACACTTTTCCAGCGTGACTCTTACTTTAGACCCAGGTTCCAAACAGCCATTATCTATGAAATACCAGAATTAGGATTCCATTATATAACGCTGAAATAGTTATGTGATCTTGCATACATTAAAACGATATCTTTTTTCCCTCTCCCCGGCTTTGTTTTTCAGCGGTCGCAGAAGTCAGACTTCGGGATGAGCAATACACCTTAGAACACATGCGTGCCTTCGGCATGTATAATTACCTACAGCTAGATTCCTGGCACCAGGATAATGTTTACTACGTTGATCAGCTCGGAAGAGTCATGAATTTATCTGTTACTCTGGTAAGGCCCCAGTGAGAAAGAAACGAACTGTCGGCCATCCGGGGTTCACACACCCATTTTTTTTTCCCCCACCCAAAGTGTGAATTCTGCCTGCATTTCTTTATAGAGATATTTATTTCCGGCTTTTCTCCCGAGCTGGGACCAATGCTCTCCCTCTAAGCTGTGGAGTTTTGTGAGCAAAAGTTTTACTTTGTGAGCTGCTGGCCTTAAAGTTGTGAGAGAGCGATTTGGCTGCTTCATAAATTAGTCTGCTCTGGAGCCATCCTTCCAGAGCGAAGACAAAAATGTGTGAGCCGGAGGCCAAAAAACTGTGAGCTGGCACACACTAACTCAGCTTAGAGGGAACACTGGCTGGGACTGGAAATGGCTTGCAACACTGCTCCCCCTTCCTTCATTTTATCCTCTCAACAGCCCTGTGAGGTAGGTTTGTCTGAGAAAGAGTGACTGGCCCAAGGTCACCCAGGAAGCTTCCATAGCTGTGCGGAGATTCAAATCGGGGCCTCCTGAATCCGAAACCAGGGGTTCACAGTGTGGGGTTCCCAGGGGCTCCATTGTGCCTACCAACACCTTTTCTGGCACCCACTGAGTGATTTTAGGAAGTGGGAGGGGGGCCAGGTTAATAATGTATGGCTGCGAGAGTTGGACCATAAGGAAGGCCGAGCGCCAAAGAATAGATGTTTTCGAATTATGGTGCTGGAGAAGACTCTTGAGAGTCCCTTGGACTGCAAGGATATCAAATCAATCCTAAAAGAAACCAACCCTGACTGTTCCCTGGAAGGCCAGAGACTGAAGCTGCAGCTCAACTAATTTGGCCACCAAATGAGAAGGGAGCACTCACTGGAGAAGACCCCGATGCTGGGAAAGATTGAAGTAGAAAGGGAAAACAAAAGATGAAATGGTTAGACAGTGTTAATGATGCAACGGACATGAAGTTGAGCAAACTCCGGAGGACAGGAGGGCCTGGCATGATGTGGTCCATGGGGCTGTGAAGAGTTGGACTCGACTGTGCGGCTGAACAACAACAAGGGGCCAGGTGGGGCTTTTGCCCAACCAGGCTTCTAATTGACTGTTGGAGATAGGATTGGCTGTGGGTTTGTTTTTTTTAAATGTTGCTTTGGCAGCAGCTGCCACCACAGCACAAGGGTCTGCACTGTTTCAATGAAGCTAGGCTGTGGCAAACATTTTATGGGTGGCTCCGCCTCCTGCAGCAGCCATTTTGTTGCTACGCTGCCCACCATGCCGTGTCAGAACTCCAAATGTGCCCGCATTTGGGACCCCTGTCCTCGACTGAGACTCTAACCACTATACCATGCCGGCATTTGTCTCCTGGTCACCAATCCTGAGTCTGTTAGACATCCAGTTAGGTTGCTACTGTGACATGGACTAGGGAGTGAGATCTTTGCCCTTGTAAAGGCCCTAGCTGTAAAAGTTGTTCAGTCCTTGGTGTGAAGTCACATAGGGGCACTGTGGGTATCATTGGAGACCACTGAAGTGAGTCATGCTCTTGGCCTTGATGTTTGAGAAGGGAGTGAAAGAAATGTATACATGAATAACCAAAGATGAGAACTGATATAGATAAACACAGAAAGAAGAGAAAATACTGGGGGGCAGAATGAAGAGAAAATACTGAAAATATTGGTAATGTCTCTTTTTTCCACACCCTTGTTTAAAGCAGTATCTATCCGTTGTTAAGAGGTTCTGTCTCTGTTTCCCCTTTTAAGAAAAAGTAGCAGAAGAAAGTTAGAGAAGGGCATAATTTCCTCCGTGCTGTTCAGCTATTTCACTTGTAGCTTTAGTCTCGAGAACTTGTCTTTGCCCACCCACGTGTGTGGGGAGCTTGGAGGAAAGGTTATATCTGCCCTGACTTAGCTCTGCCTGTTTTTGTCAGAAACCCCCCACGTGTTGGAGAATGAGTCGAGGTCACACAAATGTGTGGGTGAAGAGAAAATCAGGGGTCGCCATTGACAGGCTTCTCTGTTCCAGCATCTAACTGTCCTGCACCCGCAAGATTGGCACTTACTTCAACTATTTTAGATATACACTGTTCAAAGCAGCAATATGCTGGTCTACCCATTGCTCCACATTGCCATGTGACATCATAGGCAAGGTATATACATCCAGTATGGTATGGCTTATCTGAAAGTTAGCAAAAAGTGAAATATGGTGCTGTAAGCTTCATAAAAATCTGGACACACACGGCTAAAACAGATAAACAAATATAAAGCCAACAGTCGTGATAGTCTGACCCGCAATCAACAGTCATAAGACTTATAAGGAATGCTGTACATGTATTGTGCTCTGAAGCATTACAATATGATACACAACTTAATAGAATTTATAAACCAAGGTACAACGTCGTCTCCAGATTATTTACCAACGTTTCAAAAAATGAATCTTCTTCAGGAGATATTCTGTAGTGCACAAATTCGTTTAAGTTGTGTATCATATTGTAATGCTTCAGAGCACAATACATGTACAGCATTCCTTATAAGTCTTATGACTGTTGATTGCGGGTCAGACTATCACGACTGTTGGCTTTATATTTGTTTTAGCTGTAAGCTTCATGGCTATGCTGATTCCACTCTGTGTGCTTTAGTAACTTCATTTTATTTCACTGTAGGCTTGATTACCTTTGTCTTAGTTGTTGTCAGTTTTTCCTGTAGTGTTCTGTATGCTTTAAAAGATATTGTCAACTTTTTTTTGTCTTTGGGTTTGTCGGTCCTTTCTTTCAAAGCACCTGGACTTTTACCCCCCTCTTACTTAAAGGAAATTGAGGCTTTTGAATGATTGTTTTCTTCAAAAATACTGCATTCTTCAGGAATAATGTCCGTTGATTTTTTTCCTAATAAAAGGAAAGTACTTTTACTTTTTGAGCTGCGGTGGCTCAAATGGTTAAGAAGCTGAACTGCAGGCTGTGGAAGGTCAGTAGTTCAGCAGTTCGAGACCCGAGTTGCCGCATGACGGCGTGAGCTCCCGTCTCTGGTTCCAGCGCCTGCCAACCTAGCAGTTCAAAAGCAAGAAATTGCAAGTAGATAAATAGGTACCACTTCGGTGGGAAGGTAACAGCGTTCCGTGCGCCTCGGTGTTTAGTCATGCCGGCCACATGACCACGGAAACGTCTTCAGACAGCGCTGGCTCTTCGGCTTTGAAACGGAGATGAGTACCGCAACCCTAGAGTCGGACTCGACTGTCTTTCGAGCAAGGGAACCTTTACCTTTACCTTTACCTTACTTCCTTTTTGATCTCTACTTTTGTCTTTTAGTATCCTTAATATTCTCAAGTGGTTACTCTTTTAAACTGCTACAATGTTTTAATGTAATTTCGTATGCCCCTGTTATTCCTGATGTGTAAAAGAGATTTGTCATTCAGAATTTTTGTACTGGGAGGGCATAATTAAAACGCACACATTTCTTGAGTATATTCAATATGTGATTTCCCCAAGAGGTCCAGTTTCAATGTTCCACATTCCTTAATTATACCAACAAAGTAATTTTACTAATTGGTGATATTTATTGAACAGTATAAGCAACACAGTTCCCTATAATTGGTAGTCCTGCTAAATATGTATTTTAGTAAGTGGTTTGTTTGAACATTTCACATTGCCCCAATTGCACGAACCAGATTGTGCCTTGTTTGAGTATATTTATTACGGTGCATAACAAAGTTTGCACTAGTCCAAACTATTGATTGCACTGGCTATTGCAGATTGCAACTTTTTACTAATCAAATATTGTACTTTTTGTACTAGCGCTTACAAAGCTAATGCAGCATCAGATGAAATTAATTGCATGGTCCAATGTTAGTACATCGGGGGGTTCCCTCCCTCATTTGAAGATAGTATTTAGGCTGTAGACATTCAGATTACTCAAATAGGTTATAATCTCTAATCTCCATTCAAATAATCCCAGCAGGAAAAAGGATGACGTGTGTTTTTATCTGTTCACCACTCTCTGTACTTCTGCTTAAAAATACAAATTAGAAATTGCCTGAGCTTATGCAGAATTTACGTACATGCTTCTCAGTTAGGTGTTCTGAATCTTCTGAAAATATGGTAATGTTAAATAAGAAGATGCTCCTTTCATGGAAGGGCTATCAGTGGCTGCTGGGTGCAGTGGACTTCTACTCCCTCCAGTCCCAGAGGCAGTATGCCTCTTTATATCAGCTGGTGGGGAGCACGGGTTGGGAGGATGTTGTTGCAGTCTCCCTGCTGGTGGGCTTCCTAGAGGCCACTGGTTGTCTGCTGTGTGAATAGAATGCTGGACCTGATGGGATTCTGGTCTGATCCAGCATGGCTTTTGTTATAATCATAACCTTGACCTTAAAGATGAGCAGGGCCATTTAGAAGTCAATTGCCTGGAAACTAGGGGTGTGCAAAAAATGGGTATTTTTCGGTTTTGGGTACATCGAACCTGGAAAAATATTGATAGTTCCCGATATTCTCACATTCCAATACCAATATGGTATTTGGATTCAGGAAATATTTGGGAAATCCAATTTTTTCCTGCTCCATTATACCTTATGGGGAATGGTTCCCATAGGGTATAATGGAGAAGCGATCCGGGGGGGGTATCTGGGGCTTTGGGAGGTGTTTTTTTTACTTGGGGGCACCAGATTTGCAGCATAGCTGCTGGTGCCTCTCCTAAAAAAAACACCCTCAAGTTTCAAAAAGATTGGACCAGGGTGTCTGATTCTATGGGCCCCAGAAGAAGGTGCCTCCATCCTCCGCTGTTTCCAGTGGAGAGGGGGGGAAGGCATGTAAAGAGATCATGATCCCTTTAAATGCCTTCTCCAAGCTGTGCCTCCATGGTGAGTGAACTCCAAAGGTGTTTAAAGGGTTCTTTGTCCCTTTAAATTCCTTCTCCAAGTTGAGAGTTCACTCCAAAGGCATTTAAAGGGACGAAGAGCCCTTTAAATGCCCTTAAACTGTGGCTATCCAGTGGTACCGAAAAATCCTGAATATTTTCAAGATTTTTTGGGGTGCTCATTTTCAAATAGCTGAA